AGTTGGGGTGACGCTCTGTTGGGGTGACGCTCTGTTGGGGTAACCCTCTGTTGGGGTGACGCTCTGTTGGGGTGACGCTCTGTTGGGGTGACGCTCTGTTGGGGTAACCCTCTGTTGGGGTGACGCTCTGTTGGGGTGACGCTCTGTTGGGGTGACGCACTGTGTTTTATGGTTTATCTTACTGAAGAGAATATAATCTGACCATTCTGTAACATTAACTAAATCTGGTGTTACGGTAATATTAATTAAATCTGATCATAGTATAAAATTAACCAATCCGGCCTAATATACAGTGTCCCAAAAAGCAGGAATAAACTGATGATTTATTTTACAGTACACAACAAATTCCTTTATCAAGACAACATCATTTAACTCATTAGTCTGACAGATAAAACGTTAATCTCTTTATCACTAACGCTCACACCTTTACTGGAATTAAATCGAGGTAAAAAGTCAAGAATTATCGCTCATCTTGGACCTGCTCGAGGCGGCGTTGAAAATGAGTAGTCGGTAACTCAACGGGTGTAAACAAAGGCGCTTCGTGTCTCACTTGGCGGCATCGATATTTGCCAATAACGCGGGGAGGCATCCTACACCTTCTCTCACATCACGGGACCATTTCTCCTCACTGTAGGTAGGAGCTGTGTAGGGGGGGAGGGGAAGAGGGAGAGTGAATCCCTGAAGGCGTATGAGGGATTAGAGGGAGGTAGGCAATAGACAGAGAGAAGAGATGAGAAATAGGAAACAGTGAGATATCAAGGTACAATACTACAGCAGAATGAGACAAAATGCTAATACGGACGACCTGGGAAAAAAATAAATAAATTACTGACAGACTCCAGCTCTATAGACCCTGTTTAAATAGGCAAAACGTAAACAAACACGAGACCGGAGGCAGGAAGAGAAAGAACAGGAGACAAGAGAAAAGGTTTGATAAGAAAGGACAGAGAGATAATACACAACTACGATATTTTGTGGAGGAAAGAGGAGGAATAATACCGTCGTGAGGAGGAGGAGGAGAGGAGAGGAGGACAATAAAGAGGAGTAGGAGGACAAGGAAGAGTATAGAGGAGGAGTAACAGGGTAGGGGGAGGACAAGGAAGAGGAGAAGTACGAAGGGAAGGAGGGAGAAAGGAAGGAGAAAAAGAATAAGACTGAGGGAGGGAGAGGAGGAGGAAGAACAAGTAGTAAAGAAGGAAAATAATAGACAGCGAGAAAACTTGATAAAGATGAAGGAAAAACAAAAGGGAAGGAGGAAGGAAACGTCGTGAAGATAATAAGAGAGAAAAGAAGATAAGGAGGAATAAAGGAACATGAGATAAGGAAAGCGAAGAATGGGAGGAATAAGGGAGAGACACGTGATAAAGATGTAGAAAGTGCAACGAGGAACTGAAAGAGGTAGGAAAACACATAGCGATGAAAGAGAAGAGAAGAGAGAGACATCTAGAAGGAATAAGGAGAGAGAGAGAGAGAGAGAGAGAGAGAGAGAGAGAGAGAGAGAGAGATTTGGCCGTGTTATTTTATTGGAAACAAATATTTAAGTGTAAGAGACGAAGAAGAAAAAATATTAAAAATAAATAACGACAAGAGATGACGATGGTGATGGTGGTGGTGATGGTGATGATGGTGATGATGGTGATGGTGGTGGTGATGATGGTGGTGGTGATGGTGATGATGATGATGGTGGTGATGGTGGTGGTGATGATGGAGATAATGATGGTGGTGGTAATGGTGATGATGATGGTGATGATGGTGGTGGTAATGGTGATGATGGTGGTGATAATGTCTTTGGGGAAAATTATAAAGAAAGTGAAAACATACTTAGAATACAGAACGGTAGGTAGATGACAATAGAAGTTATTGGTAAGAGATAAAATATGAAAAGTATTGGTCATTTTTCAGTGTGTGTTGTGTAGCTGTGAGGTGCTTGTGTGGGGGGTGGCTGTAGAGGTAGGGGAGGTGGAGGAAAGAATGCAGGGAAGGAAGGAAGGAAGGAAAGAAAGGAAAGGAGGGCAGGAAAGGAGAGAGGGCAGGAGGTAGTCGAGCAAGAGCAGATTGTGTGGTGAGAGGAAGGCGCGACGGGCAGACTCACCCTGGGGGGGAGGAGGGGAAGTTGACAACGGGCCGGGCTGGGGCATGGAGGGGGTGGTGGGGGGAAGGAGGGGTGTGGTGGAGAGGGAGGGTGTGGTGAGGGAAGAGGTGTGGTGGAGGGAGAGGTGTGATGGAGGAGCATACTGGGGTAACCTTCGACCTTCTCCACTACGCGTGCAAGATTGAAGCAATAACGATCCTGGGGGCGTGGGTCTCGCCGACGGCTGCCAGGTACGAGTCTTGATCTTTTTTGTCGCTGTTGTTTTATCTCGTCCTTACCTCAGGAGGACCCGCTCTGGTCGAGTACCACGCCGAGGACCGTCTGGCCGCTGGACAACCATCGTGAAGAGGCAGTGGTGGTGTGGCGTAAAGTTTGGACACAACTTCAGTGTAATTTCCTCACTTGATCATGAATGTTGTCGTGTGTGACGTGAAAGTCCCTCAGAAATATTTCTTTCGAGTTGCCGGACAGAATCATCATCATGGCGCCAGACATCTATAACATGTGTTTAACGAGGCGTGATCACAGGTGTTGAGGTTCTTGAAAAACGCTTAAGTCTTGTAGTGGTGACTTGAGGAGATTCCCACACCATCGTCAGGAGTACTTTGTGTAGGAGGGTGTAACTCATTAACAGAAGGTAAAGGTGTGAGTCGTGGCCATCAAAAGACCCCGGCGGAATGTTGGAACGGCACCCGAGAGGTTTATATAATGAGAGAGACTTCCAATTTTTTTTCACTATATCAATAAAATCTGTCGTGCGCTATATTTAATGGGGTTCTGTGAGCATTTGTTTCACTGCTGGCTTTTGAGGAGTGTGTGTTGAGGGTGTTGAGTTTGTCTCTTTAAAGGGGACTGCTCCGAATGTTGATTTAAGGAGGACAGTTTCGAGCAGTGATTTACCCAGGGGACATAGTGAGTAGGTTTCTTACGGGAGTTTTCAAAGTGTGTTAGTAAAGAGGACACCAGGTGACTCAAGTGGCTGCCTACACTTAGCTTTGTGATATTTGTTAATTACACTGTGAGTTACGTTAGTGTTCCAAGTGACAGTAAGCGATGAGTTACATGGATTTATACTTTAAGGTAAGAATGATTATTAATACTGTTGTGTTCTTGAGTATCACCTTTATAATTAGGATGATATATTTAGAAATATCCGTCTGACTAACTTGGCTCTTAATTTCACAGGTGTTTTTAATTAATGTTACATAATAATTCTACATGACCTCGGCCTACAGAACGAGGTCACACCCTTATACAGCAATCAACTCCACTGTGTAATATTAGGTTATGGTCAAACTCTTCAGATCATATTAAAGGTCAGGGCCTTCACCAAGGTCACATTCCCAACACCCACGTATAGTTTGACATAAGGTCACACCCCTCGAAGGTCAGGGTATGAGAATAACTCACAACCTTTAACGTTACACAGTGTTACACAGGTCACACTCGTCAGGTAACACAAGGTCACACTCGTCAGGTAACACAAGGTCACACTCGTCAGGTAACACAAGGTCACACTCGTCAGGTAACACAAGGTCACACTCGTCAGGTAACACAAGGTCACACTCGTCAGGTAACACAAGGTCACACTCGTCAGGTAACACACAGGTGAATCTCTTTATCTTACAAAAAGTTCATTTCCATTAAGTCATAATTCTCAAAAATCTCGTAAGACAAGTTTATTGTTTTAAAGGTCATCTTGTCCTTCAAATATAACTTTATAATCTAAGATCACGCCCTCAAAGGTCACCGTGTAAGGTAACTCAGCGAACTGTGAGTTACATTTCAAAACACACGTGAAAACAGAGACATAAACTTCAGGTAGAATCTCAGAACGTATTTTCACCGTCCTGTGGCAGTGCTTGAGTCCAGAGTCTTTCCCGATGACCTTTTCTAGACAATAAATAAGAAATTCCTAAGGAGTTTCTGACGAAGTAAAAGATCCTACAACTTTTAGCGTCCCAGAGAGGTTATAGTGTCCTTCTGCAGCCCCCGAGGCGCCCACACCTTCATGAGTCTTAAAGATAGTTGTGAGTTTTAGTTTTCAAGCCTTAAGAAGCTCCTGGCTTAAGAGACGAAGAGGATCATTTCAGACTTCTGTAACCCAAGTCTCCAAACTGAACTCAGTCTTTAAGAGTCATTTAAGACTTTAATAACCTTGGGCATTCAGTATATTAAAGACCTCTTCATGCGTCTTAGGACTTGGAGTTTGAGAATATTGAAGACTTCTGAAAATTCAAGATCTCACAGAAGGGAAACTGACTTAAAATTTCTGAATCCTGCGGCACAAAAGTTGATTGACTTCAAGACTCAGCGACTACCTTGAGAACTCTGGAAAGCAGTTTAATTCAGGAGGTTTCTGAAAATATCATAAACTTTCAGAACTTTGTGCACCAACTTTAACCGTCAGGTAAATGTACAGATCACCTAAAGATTGTTCCCTAACTTATTTCACCTGCTGATTAACCACCGTAAAACTATCTGGAAAGGATGTTAGGTGAGGTTAGGTGAAATATACTTGGGGGGGAGGGGGGGGGTGGGTTAACATACAAGTAATCCACTAGTACATAGAGAATATATTTCACTTCTCATCACCAACGTTTCCCAAGAGTCTATATAGTTGTTGGAGGCTTCTGGAGTCTCTAGAGGCTTATGAAGACTCCTACGTCAATATTCCTTGTACACGTGGGTTTTCTCAGGAGTCTGTCTCTCTCCTCTAAGACTCTTATACGATAATATCTCAAGAGACTCCCAGTTGTTACTTGTTTATTATCATGTAACTCTCCAATAAGCTCCCCCATAACTCCCACAGACTCCCACATACTTGTCTCATAGCCTCCCATAGACTCTCATAGCCTTCCATAGCCTCCCATAGACTCCCAGATAATCACAAGTCTCATCTCCACAGGCCAAGGAGCTGCCGGCGAAGGACTTGAGCGGTACGAGTGATCCCTACGTGAGGGTGACACTGTTGCCTGATAAGAAACATAAGCTGGAGACCAAGATCAAGCGACGCACTCTTCATCCCAAGTGGCACGAGACTTTTTACTTCGAGGGTGAGCTACCTACCTGGTCCTTCAGTGTGTGTGTGTGTGTGTGTGTGTGTGTGTGTGTGTGTGTGTGTGTGTGTGTGTGTGTGTGTGTGTGTGTGTGTGTGTGTGTGTGTGTGTGTGTGTGTGTGTGTGTGTGTGTGTGTGTGTGTGTGTGTGTGTGTGTGTGTGTGTGTGTGTGTGTGTGTGTGTGTGTGTGTGTGTGTGTGTGTGTGTGTGTGTGTGTGTGTGTGTGTGTGTGTGTGTGTGTGTGTGTGTGTGTGTGTGTGTGTGTGTGTGTGTGTGTGTGTGTGTGTGTGTGTGTGTGTGTGTGTGTGTGTGTGTGTGTGTGTGTGTGTGTGTGTGTGTGTGTGTGTGTGTGTGTGTGTGTGTGTGTGTGTGTGTGTGTGTGTGTGTGTGTGTGTGTGTGTGTGTGTGTGTGTGTGTGTGTGTGTGTGTGTGTGTGTGTGTGTGTGTGTGTGTGTGTGTGTGTGTGTGTGTGTGTGTGTGTGTGTGTGTGTGTGTGTGTGTGTGTGTGTGTGTGTGTGTGTGTGTGTGTGTGTGTGTGTGTGTGTGTGTGTGTGTGTGTGTGTGTGTGTGTGTGTGTGTGTGTGTGTGTGTGTGTGTGTGTGTGTGTGTGTGTGTGTGTGTGTGTGTGTGTGTGTGTGTGTGTGTGTGTGTGTGTGTGTGTGTGTGTGTGTGTGTGTGTGTGTGTGTGTGTGTGTGTGTGTGCCTTATTATATTTCCTTACATTTCATTTTCTTATTGGTTCTTTAACTTCTTCACTCTTTCTCCCTCCCATTCTTCTTCTTTTCTTACCTTTTGCCTACCCTCTTTCCTTCTTTTCATTCCCTCCTACTAACCCGCCTTCTATTCCTTCCCACTCCCTTACCTTCCATCACCCTTAACCCCCTCTCTCACCCACTCCCTCTCACCCCCTCTGTCACCCACTCCCTCTCACCCTCTCTCACCCACTCCCTCTCACCCTCTCTCACCCAACCCTGTCCACCATCCACTGCCACCCCCACTTTGTCCACCAGCCCGAGGTAATTGTCACTGTCTCTCTCTCCTTCAGGGTTCCCCATCCAGAAGCTACAGAGCCGTGTGTTACATCTCCACGTCTTCGACTACGATCGATTCTCACGAGACGATTCCATAGGCGAGGTTCATATTCCTCTGTGTCAGGTGAGTGGCTCTGTGTCAGGTGAGTGGCTCTGTGTCAGGTGAGTGGCTCTGTGTTTGTTGAGTGGCTCTGTGTTTGTCTCGAGGTAAGTGGCTCTGGTGAGTGGCTCTTGTGTTTGTCTGTTGTGTGGCTCTGTGTTTGTTGAGTGGCTCTGGTGGGTGGCTCTGTGTTTGTTGACTGACTCTGTGTTTGTTGAGTGACTCTGTGTTTGTTGAGTGCTCTGTTTGTTGAGTGGCTCTGTGTTTGTTGAGTGGCTCTGTGTTTGTTGAGTGACTCTGTGTTTGTTGAGTGGCTCTGTGTTTGTTGAGTGGCTCTGTGTTTGTTGAGTGACTCTGTGTTTGTTGAGTGACTCTGTGTTTGTTGAGTGACTCTGTGTTTGTTGAGTGACTCTGTGTTTGTCTAGAGGTGAGTGACTGTGTTACCTTGTCTCACACTACTAATTAAGACATTACCTGAAGATTAACCCTCAGCTTATTTCACCTGTTGATTAAACGCCCGAACGTTACCTGGGGTTAATTTAACATTAGGCGGGTTAATCTTGAGGTGAAATAAGCTAGGTGGGCCAATTTTCAGGTGAGTTGAATAAAGAGTTAGATACAGCAGTGTGTGTGTGTGTGTGTGTGTGTGTGTGTGTGTGTGTGTGTGTGTGTGTGTGTGTGTGTGTGTGTGTGTGTGTGTGTGTGGTCTCGTCTCGTTTTGAAGTTTATGAAGAGTTTATTGAGACCGGCTTTGTCCTCGATATTGTCCTCGCAATCGTTGTCTCTTCAAGTTTTTACGGTTAGGTCACTTAAGGTAAAAGGTCAACTCGTGTCTGTTCTCCCGTTCAGTGTTGTTGTGTTATAAAAGAAAAAGGTCACTCAGTAGTTTCGACCAACCACGGCTGTCGAGGTGAGAGGTTAGGTTAGGTTAGGTTAGGTTGGGTTAGGTTAGGTTAGGTTAGGTTAGGTTAGGTTAGGTAATTTCCACACGTTTATGCCATCATCAAGTCTGAAGTTTGGTGACCATGGCCCACCTATCCAAATGTTTACCGATGTTGAGTCTCCCCGGTGATGGAACAGCTTTTAATTTTATTCATTCATTCCAGTGTCGGTATTCCCCTGTCCCTTCCTGTCCCTCCCTGTCCCTTCTGTCCTTTCCTGTCCCTTCTGTCCCTTCTGTCCCTCCCTGTCCCTTCTGTCCCTCCCTATCCCTTCCTGTTTTACTCATTAACACGTCTCTTGGTCTCCTTGTTCCTAATTTTATGTCCAAAGTATCTCTTGTTTTTATTCTTTACCACCACCACCACCACCACCACCACCACCACCACACCATCACCACCATCACAACACCACACCTGTCCACCACCACACCATCACTCCACCTGTACACAGAATACCTACAACCGGTAAATAAATAAGGCCAAAAGGGAGATTATATTTGTTGGTGAGTAATGGTGAGGCTCAGAGGAATGACTGTACAGAGGGTGTTGAACATTTAACCAGGTAAGGGAGTAAGGGGGACTATCTATCCTCCCTCTGTCTATATTGTATGAGCTCTCTCTCTCTCTCTCCCACATGATTCTCTTTCCCCCCTTTGTTTTCTTATCTCTCTCTCCTCCCTTCCTTCATCCTCTTTCCCTCTCCTTCATGTAGTACGACCACCTTCCTTCCCTCCCTCCTCTCTACTTCCTTCCATCCTCCCTCCTCTCTACTTCCTTCCTTCCCTCCCTCCTTCCCTCTCTCCCTCCCTCTCTCCCTTCATGTAGTACACCACCTCCCTTCCTTCTCTCCTCCCTAGGTCGCATGATCCCTCCAGCACCAGGGAGGGAGGGAGGGAGGGAGGGACACTGGCCAAGAAGTGCCTTAGGGTTTGTATGCAAATTTCGGGAGAGTTTATGCAAAGTCATCCTCCAGCAGGCTTTGGGACCTATACCTGCCAGGGGGAATAAACGGAGAGCCAGGGGGAATAAACAGAGCCAGGGGGAATAAACGGAGAGCCAGGGGAATAAACAGAGCCAGGGGAATAAACGGAGAGCCAGGGAATAAACGGAGAAGAATGAGGGGGAATAAAGAGCCGGGGAATAAACGGAGAGCCAGGGGGAATAAACAGAGCAGGGGAATAAACAGGGGAATAAACAGAGAGCCAGGGGGAATAAACGGAGAGCCAGGGGGAATAAACAGAGCCAGGGGGAATAAACGGAGAGCCAGGGGGAGGAAATAGGGAAAAGAGGAAAAATAAGTGAGAATAACAGTTAGTGGAAGGAAGTGGAGGAAGGAAATTGAGGAGGAAAAATGAAACCGGAAGAAGGGGAGAGAAGAGAATGAAGAGAGGAGTAGAATATTCGAAGAAGAGGGGAAGAGAAAAGAGAAATAAGAAAAGAATAATAAGAGGGAGAAGGGTAGAGAAGGCAGTAATAAAAGAAGAAGAGCGGAAGAGAAAAGAGAGAAAGAAGAAAACATTAAAGTGGTAGAAAGTAAAGAAGATAAAGAAGATGATTAACGAAGAGGATTATGTAACACTGAGCTAGGCTAGACAGTGGGCACAAATGACTAAAATACAAATAACATAAGAATATAAACGACATAAGAATAGATAAGAATAAAAATAGGACATGTAGTGATAAATTAAGACATAAATAATATAATAGCAGAAAGGATAATAGCTATATTAAGTTATTTACGTAAGGCTGAGATAATGTTGTTTTGTTTTCGATTTTAAACCAAGATGGCGCTAGGCTTCCGTCACCATGGTAACCTGACGATAAAGCCCCCTATATAATATTAATGTATAATCGTACTTTACTATAGACCAGGGGCTTATATAGACTAGCTGATGGATGTAATAGGTGCACTGGTAAGAGCATTAAAGATAAGAGACTTGGGAGATTTTGTCAGGAAATGGATACTTTTTACCCAGTCTGTATATTTTAGTGGAGTTAGTCTTTGACACAGACAATATAGAGACAAACAGACACAAACCCCCTTGAGATAATGTCAACACACACACACACGACGTTCATAACAGGTTAAAAAATTAAATTAAGAGGTTATAATCAACTCGTTCCCGGGGCGGCTCTTCAGTAAGTAATGACGGTAAACAGTGAGAGTAGTAGAAAACGTTGGCCTTGCTGGAGGAGTAACTCGACTAGACTATCTCTCTTTAATGGGACCTTCACAACATCGTCTACTTGTATTCTGTCGGGAAATTTTAGGGAATTTTTTTTTTTTACATACATTGCTTCTCTTCTCTTTTCTTCTCTTGATGTCGGTACAGAATTTAATGTTTTATGCTTGTCGTTCTGCGTGTACCTGTTCGACTTTCGCCAGATTTCGAATCTCTCTTGCAAGGAAAGACTCGATGGTTGGCGGGAGATCAAAGCTTGGTAGTGACCTACATGTGAGAGAGAAAGAGAGGGGGGGAGGAGCGAGGAGGCGAAGGAACGAGAGAGAAGAAGGAACGAGAGAGAGGGAGAAGGAACGAGAGAGAGAGGGAGAAGGAACGAGAGAGAGAGAGAGTGAGAGAGAGAGAGACGGAGAGAGAGAGAGAGTGAGAGAGAGAGAGAGAGAGAGGTTGATGTCAGCCCGAATAACATGACTTGGAAATGAAAGAGAAAAGTAAAAAAATATTTTCTTCAGTGACTCGAGAGGAACATGGCATATCGGGTCCTCCTCCTCCTACTTCTTCTTCTTCCTCCTCCTCTTTATGAAGACCGCCTCGTGGAGTCTTCTTTGTTGACGACGCGGGATCGTCCTCTTTGCGAAGGCCGGTCAGTGGAGTTCTCCCTCAAGCGTACCGTGGTAGGCAGATGAAAGCTGGAAAACTTCAACACGGGAACTTTTGAAAACCCTGACACTGGCCATTTTTCTTGTATACTGTTCCTGTTATAGAGTTAAGTTAGAAATAGGAGAAAAAGATATAAAAATAATGATGAAATTTATATTCAAACATTCAGAGGCATAAGTAAACATTGGAACCTAAAACAGAAGAAATAAACATTGGAACCTAAAGATAAACAAACTAAACATTGTAATTTAAGGATAATAGAAATAAACTTAACATTAGTTTTCCTCGCGTTGATTCTTAGAGTAAAAATGGACAAAAGCGTCGGAATGATTAATTGTGATTTATATGTTGTGGAATATTTAGAAACTTTAAAATAAATGATAATAAACTTTGATTATTGTGAAGAATATTTATATTTTCTTTACAATTATCCAGAGTTTATTTCTACTAATTTTTAAATCTCTGTTTAATAAGGCCTAAAATATTTAGTAATTATTGAAGATTTTCAGATGAAGAAGTTAACCTTGTATATAAATAATGCTTTATATTTTCTTTTATTTCGGTCAGTAAGTGAATGTTGCTAAGAAGTTTTTTTGAAGTTTGTGAATAATTAAGCTGTGTGGAAAATTTGATATAAGATGACTGAATTTAAAAGGAAGGTCAAGGATATATTTTTGTGTAATGGATAATAAGATTTTTTATAGATTCTTATATCATCTCCCAGTCTGGATTTTGCGTTATAAAGACGAGAAAAATAATCATCATCAGAAGAAGAAACTTTAATACCAGCTTTAACTCATTCACCAAATATGTCAAGTTATATCAAAGGAAATATATTGTGTTCTTGTCCTGATCCAAGACGTTTCATTTTAGCATTCGTGGTCGAGGGTTTGAAGTTTGAAGTCAGGGCGGTGTCTTGATAGGGGAGGGACTTGACGCCTCCTACGCCTGCTCCAGCCATGCCGACGTAAAAGTTAATTTATTCATGATGCAAACCGCTGGATCGCGTCTCTTTGTCTTTTGTGTTTCTGGGACGAAATGGTTTTATCCGTTCAAGGGCTGACGGGAACAGGTTAAGAGGCAATGTTTAGAAGGTTAAGAGGCAATGTTTAGGAGGTTACGAGGCTATGTTTAGGAGGTTACGAGGCTATGTTTAGGAGGTTAGGAGGCTATGTTTAGGAGGTTAAGAGGCTATGTTTAGGAGGTTAAGAGGCTATGTTTAGGAGGTTCAACATCCCTTCAGAAAATAAGAACTAAACTCCATATATATCATAACAACATAATGGCCACCACTTGGATGTTTATAAATCAAGAAGATATTATTTTACTCCTAGCTCACATACAACCAGCTACCATGGATTGGATCTCGGCATTTGGTGTGTAAATAAAGGGGAGATTTGACTTCCTCTTCCCCTCCTGACCAGCGTAATGTGTGGAACTAACTCGTATTGAAGAGCAAGGTGTAAAATTTCTTCAAGATACTGTCTGAATGTTATGTCTTTCCTTACCTGATAGTTTATGAACCCTCTCACTTAGAGCCAACACTTGATCCCTCTCATCCTACAGCCAACACTTGATCCCTCTCATCCTACAGCCAACACTTGATCCCTCTCATCCTACAGCCAACACACAGTGGGGGATCCGAACCAGTGCTTTGGCTTAATGTAATGCCGGGGTTATGAACCAAGGGCAAATTATGGTCCTTGTTTGTCCTAACTTGGTGGAGAGAGTGATGGAGGAGTGTGGTGGAGAGGGAGTGTGGTGGAGAGGGTGGTGGAGGGAGAGAGTGATGGTGGGAGCTGGTGGAGTGGGTGAAGAGAGTGACCTTTTCTCACTGAGCCAAACTAATGGAAGGGAAGGGGCCAAGGGTGATCAAGAGAAAAATTGGTATATAAATGAATGAGAAAATTAATTTGTTAAATCATAAGGACTGAATTGTGGCCCGGTGTGGCACGTGTTGTATGGAGTAATGTATGAGAGAGAGAGAGAGAGAGAGAGAGAGAGAGAGAGAGAGAGAGAGAGAGAGAGAGAGAGAGAGATCATCACACTGTACACAATAAGAAGTGTCGGGAAATAAGCTCACATAACAAGGTAGCTGCCGGAGACCTCAACAGCGTGTGTTTTGGACCCATCTCTTCCTCTTCCTTTACCGGCAAGTTTATTACCTTAACGGAGATGGAACTCGGCCCTGATGTAATTGTCGAGGCAGAGAGAGATGTGATGAGGTCGGTGGTGGTTATGGTAGGTGGTGGTTGTTGTGGGTGGTAGTTTTGGATGTGGTAGGTTGTTGTAGTAATTGGTAGATGGAGTGGGTGTTGATGGTGGTAGATGGTGGCAATCTCTCTCTCTCTCTCTCTCTCTCTCTCTCTCCTTGAAGCTTCTGCAAGATTTCTGTTGGGAAATTTACTCAATTTCTTCATTCACTAAACATTTTTTTTTATTATTATTATTCCTTCTTTCTCTTTTCAATGCCTCTCTTTCGTGTTTTTTTTATAGTTCTCTTCACTCTCCGTCTTCCTTGATTCCGTCTTTTGATTTTTTGTCCTCTGGTGTTTATTGGATTTTTCAGGTTGTTTGAGTTCTTTCTTTCTTTCTTTCTTTCTTTCTTTGGATTCCCTTTGTAGGTTTATTCCTCAGTGTTAAGGTGGAATTTAAGGGTTTGACTTCCTCTTGGTTCATGTATTTCTCTCTTAATTTTTGATGAGAATTAGTTAGAACTTGGATCACTTGAAGATTAGACCCCCTAGTGTATTTCACCTTAGGATTAATCAAACTAACCTAACCTAACCTAACCTAACCTAACCTAACCTAACCTAACCTAACCTAACCTTCGTCCTGCATAAGATTTCCAGCTATAATATTCTCTTGTTCACTTGTCTTGAGGTCCACCTTGAAGGGAGTTGCTTACTGAAGTGGGAGTCAGTTCATTTCCTCCCCTTCAATCACCTTGGCTGGTTTTGGACGCTTGGGAATTCCTTCTCCTCCGTCTTTTGACTCATGAGTGGATGAACAGATATTTTTATATTGTCAGCTTTTCTTTTGATGATGATGATGATGATGATGATGATGATGGTGGTGGTGATGGTGATGGCGATGATGATGATGATGATGATGGCGATGACGATGACAGCGATGATGATAAAACAAATTATCTTCGTAAAAATTTCCAAAGACTTTTTTTATTCTCTAAAATATTCCGGAAATATCTCATCTCCTTCAGTCAATTATTTTTTCTCATATGTTTTCGCCATTTTTCAGGTTGATTTTTCGGAAAAGAACAACACCTTCTGGAAAGCTTTGCATCCTTTAGAGAAGAACAAGTGTGGTGAGATCCTGACCTCCCTAATGTACCAGCCTTCAACCTCTCAGCTCACACTCACCGTCATCAAGTGTAGGAACCTTAAGGCGAAAGACATCAATGGAAAATCAGGTAAAGTGTCATTGGAACAAAAAAAAATAATAATAATTAACTCTGGAACAAAAAAAATCAATTAACTCTGGAACAAAAAAAATCAATTAACTCTGGAACAAAAAAAATCTATTAACTCTGGAACAAAACAAAAAAGTTAGTGGAAAATCAAGTCAAATCCAGCTTAAACCTTAAAACTTAACACAATACTAAAACAAAGTCACTTCCTCTGTAACCTAAAAGACTTGAGTCAAAGATCAGGTGAAGTCCCTCAGGTGCTTCAGGTGTGAAAGAGACTCACAATATAATCAGATAATGCAATGTAGGAACTTTGAAGATAAAACACAAAATGGCCAATCAGCTAAGGGCTTCACACGCCTCAGTACACACGACCAATGGGAACTGTTCCTGGTCTGGGGGGGGGGAGGGGGTGCCTAGGCAGTATTTAAATCAATAACTTATTCAACTAACTTTTATCATGAAGATTATATTTGATAAACTTCCTGGAGATAATGAGAGGAGAGAGCTTTATAGATATTCTAATGAACTTAATGTTTTATACGTTAATTTATTTTCATTATGATAATATATACCGTTTGTGTTTTTCTTAATTTCCTTTCATTTAAAAGTTTCTGATAACTATATTGATAAATAAAACAAACAAATAAAACTCATTAAAATAATCACATCTGGTTTAATGTTTTTTGTTTTAAGTGTGACCAAACTGCCCACAAGACTTAGCTAAATTTATTGATTATACATTGAAGTTAATTTATTATTCATATCAGTGGGTGTTGGATCAGTTAGCTCAATTGATAATGTTTCCTTGGTGAAAAAAAATAGTCCTACATAATTTCACTGTTAATAAAAGATCCAGTTAATTTCTGCATTTTATTCATTTTTAGGGAATTTATATTGATTTTGAGTCCAGCATATGAAAAAGATCACTATTTCTGGTAATATAAATTGGTTAGGTTAGGTTAGATTAATCCCAAGTTTATCCCAGACTAGAAATAAAAGATCTTAATTTCCCTATAAACAGATGCTCCTATTTATAACTTTCACCAACAACCAAAATTAAGAATTAAAATATCTCAATGCCATGTTCCTTATGTCTCAACCATCCTTAACTCCACAGATCCCTACGTGAAGGTGTGGTTGTACTTCGGAGAGAAACGGATAGAGAAGAAGAAGTCAGAGGTCCAGTTTTGCACCCTTAACCCCGAGTTCAACTTCAGTGTCATGTTTGACGTGCCCTGGGAGAGGATCAGAGAGTGTCAGCTCAACGTTACTATCATGGATCACGACAAAGTGGGACGGAACGAAGCCATTGGCAAGATCATGTTAGGTGGGCCTTACTCCTTCTCCTCTCTGTGTCTCTCTCATATCTCAATGTATCTATCTTCTTCTTCTTCCTCTCACCTCTCACTCTTACCTCAACCACCTTCCTAGCTCTCATCTCTCTCTCTCCCTTTCGTTTGATCTACCACATCTATTCCTTTATCTCTCTCTCTCTCTCTCTCTCTCAATGCCATCTTCGTAAACACCTGCCTCTATATGTGCATTTAATAACCTTATGTTACTAGTAGCTGAATACAAGTGTGCTGAGAATGGTTGACAGGTGTAGGTAACTAATTCACACACCAGAGGATAATGGTTTTACAGGTGTTTTTTATGGTTTCAGATTTGTTTACAGGAGAGGTTAATAATATGTGTGTGTGTGTGTGTGTGTATGTGTGTGTGTGTGTGTGTGTGTGTGTGTGTGTGTAGGATGTGTTGGCGGATGGCAAAGCCAACTCCATAAATGCGGTTTCTCTCCGCAGCAGGCTTACCCTTCCAGAAGAAGGTATAGCCAGACTCCTGTTCTGTGAGTTGGCCCTCGTCTGGGAGCCGGGACTCACTGATGGCTGCTATGTCGATGTTATACCTAGCCAACTCTTTTGCCACAAGGGCAGTTCTTCTTTCAGGACGGTCATTTGTGCCAGTATTCAGAATGGTCCTGACAATCCAGGCAGCAACCATAGGAGGTTGTATAGTTTGTTTTTGTTTGGATCTGTGACTTTGATTGTGTTTTCGACCGCAAAAGGATGACCTTACTGGGTGCAGTTGCCCACTGAGGTTGGTTTTTTAGGCAGGCTATGTTTAGGGCACCTTTTGTAGCCCCCTCCCCATGTGTGGTGAGTAGAGTGGCTCCTCGAGAGGGCTGCTCAGTCACACAGACAGGACCGGATTGCACTGCTGCCTAGATCCCAGTGCATAAACTACCATCTTATCTGTGCCGTCCATGAGCAGAGTTGTGACTAGAGACTCCCGGCAGTCATCTCTGCCTGTCTCCATTGTCCACTCGTATAGGGGTTTTGATGATGATGAGCGGTATGATGAGCTAGGTGATGGCTTCACGTGAGTTGATTTATGTGGTGAGGCAGGAGCGCAGGCTGCAACCACACATCTTGGCTCTCCCTTTTCCTGATCCAGTGGTGCAAGTGTTGCAACGACTGGGGAGGGGGGGAGAGGGAGAGTCGCAATGGACTGCCGATAGCCCAGTTTGTTGGGTTTCGCCTTAGTAGCCTGTCCATCAGGCATTGCCTTCGTCCGTCAGTGTAGTCGTTGGGTTTCCATAGTGGTCACCTCTTCCGCCTATACCGCTGTTGGGGTTTTGTTGGAGCTCTGTAAGCATGTCTGCCTGATGCGGGGCTCCACCGCTTAATTTTCGTTCAGGGTTTACTCCCGTAGTCTTATACCTGCCAAGATTTATCCGAAAGGCAGCGGGGCAGTAGTTGGTAGGCGCCAGGACGTGTCCACATGACAGTGGGCCTATGTGCCGTCCCTCTGGGGCCCACTGCTACTCCAAGATCCCCTGCTGATCTAGCCTGGGACCACGAGGCACCCAGTTACCGTGTGTTGCCACGAGAAGACACAGCAGGAGTCTTGATGGTGAGGAGGCTGTGTACTGACAGGGGAAGACTTATGCAAGTTGCTTCCTTGTTCGCCACGAGGGCTAGCCAGCGGCAGTAGCTGAAAGCAAGAGGGAGCAAGCAATACCTGCATCTTAACACTAACATAATGTTGCCACACTAGACGCATTACACCACCCTGCACACACACACACACACACACACACACACACACACACATACTAATGAGCCGTCAAATAAAGATGATCTTGCAAATCATATGGTACAGGTGTACAGTAGCTCATGCTGTTCTCTCCACAGGTAAGGCTGGCAGCGGCACCTCCGAGACCAAACACTGGAGCGACATGATCACGAAGCCACGACAAAATGTAGTTCAGTGGCATCGTCTTAAGCCGGAGTGAGACTGGCGACCCTGGTGCCCCTAAATTCACGTATTCCCCCAGCTGCTGCTGTATTAGATGGCCACAACACCTAGCCAAGTGTCAGGAACTGGAGGACTTCCCAACCGCTCAAACGTTGATGAAGATATAAGCGCAAAGTGACCACACGAACGTGACAGTGTTGTGAAGTAATTGTAGATGGCTTTTAAAAAATTCTAAATTGGGAATATAGTGCTGAGCATCAGGTCCTTACAAGGTGTACATGTGTGATTATATGTGCGTGTGTGTATGTGTGTGTGTGAAGGTGTGTGTGAGTGGGTGTATGCATGTGCGTGTGTGTGCTTGTGCATGTATTTGCGTGCATAGATGTGCACATGTAATTCTGCTTGTATGTACATACGTACAAGATGCAACAGCAAGAATGTGCCGCCACCACCACCAGCTGCCTGAGTGCCCCTTCCCATCCCCAAGGCCTAAAGTATCAGCACAGAACTCAGCCATGTCCTGCTAGAGTATGTCTACTACTACACAGCTCGCTGCCTCCACCCACCATACCCGCAACTTTGTACCGAGCAAATCAATATATACAGAAAAACAAAAAAAATATCATGATGTTCTTGCAAGCATAAAACTGCAGGCAATGTCATCCTTAGAAAGTCAGATACTTCCTCCTCCCTTTAAAAAGAAGAAACACACAGCGAGAGTGGGAAGAACCACGTAATTAAAGATGTGGAGTATGAGAAGGATGCAGGTGGTGGCAGGTGGTGTGTGCAGCAGAGAGCGCGCCCTTGTGGGGTTAGTTGGAGTGCAAAGGGGTACTGGGGTGCTGCCAGGTTTTTTCCGAGGTTTTATCCTATTAAAAACAGAGAAAAAATAATATAATAAGTGCATCTGTTGCGCATCTTGTAAAGATTTCAATGTCTTCTTTAATATAGCAACCTCCACCCCTACCCCAAAATAAAAAAAAAGATCCATTTAAGATGTGTTACAAATTGAGAAGTAAGGTGATAGGAAATGCCTGCCATCAGCAACATATAACCATAACAAAAACAACAAAGGAAATAAGGGGCGTCTTCCCCACAATTTCTTTCTTAAAAATTTCAAGGGATTTCTGGTCGGGCATCCAAATTGGCAATGGCATTTCCACACGTCTATGCATCTCCACACACTGGTGTCGTAGTTAGCTGTGACGACTGTTAGGATCGGTGGTTCTAGTGGCCCGTGTTGAATTAATGTTTTCTAAGACCCAACTGTGGGGCTCATATTTCATATTGTTTGATAGAAGATGGTCAAGTAGTTGGTATTAACTTTGTTTTCTGAGATACTATTTGTAATGGTAATATATTTTGATTTTTAGTTGAGCAGAAATTATGTACAATACACCAGTATGTTGCCGTGAGTATCTGTAGGATCTCTTTGTAAAATATTGTATATGTGGCTCAATACATAGAGATATATATATAAATAAATATATGAAACATTAGCTTAGTTAAAGAAAGCATAATATGTCAAGTGATGAGCATTAACGGAGCAATGCTGGAAGGCTTATTGTCATGCACTGCGAATGGGGTAATGAGTCTGACAGCATTGCTTGGCCAGGCGCCTCGTGGCTTCTCTCCGATGCCCCTAACTTAAACCAGCACAGGATGCAGGCTCTGCTTCAGCCCAGAACCCTTCTTCAGCAGTACCATATATTTAAATGAAATCTAAAAGTATTAGCATACAAGTCTCTTCACAGAGTGTGATATCAAGTTGAGTGTCTTTTGGGCTAGTGTTGCAATTTGTATTGTATGAAAATGTTACTCACTGGACCAGTATTTTTCTTGTGTTGTGAAACTTTTGTGTGTGTCTCATGTTATCAGTAAAGTTAAGGGGTTCAAAGTTGGTGCCATGCTGTTGTTTGGAACTTACGTGTGTGTATGTGTGTGTGTAAGAGACATTTATGGTGTGTCTTTTGGCCCGACAGGTAGTGTTATGCAAACTTTGAACTTCTGAACTTAAAAATGTAAAAAAATTCAGCACAAGTGAATTTTTGGTCATATTTAAGTTGACAGAGCACTTATGTCAGGCCCACAGACTAACTTTTAATGCAATACAGCCAGACTTACACATGTTAAATAAAACAGTGCCGTGTCAACTTTGTACTCGTAAAATAACTCCTTGATAATTATGTTATTTTTGATAACTAATCTCATGTTTGTACTCCTTGTCATAACGATGATTTGAACAGTTGCTGTCATCATTACTGACTTTGTGATGTGTTACAGAATATTTTGTATTATTATTATGAGGGAATATTAATTGTTTATGTAATTCTGTGATCCATGACCTAATTTCTCACATTATTATCACTTTTATCTATCATTCCATTGTCATTTTTTATTTATATCAATACATGTTTCTTTCAGTTAGACAACATTATTTATATACAGGGTATCCCAAAAGTTATTGTCCCGAGGTGGTGTTGGAAGGCTCAACTAACTTTTGGGACACCCTGTATTTTATCAGAATATCTGTTACACTGCAAAACTGAAGTGTCCAGTGCCTGGATATTATGAATAACCCAGTCATCAAAATATTCATCACTTCCAAATTATCTGACACAAAGAAAGAAAAAGAAAAGTCAGTTTGGTATAATATTTTTGAGTGGCAAAATGTCATTCTTTGTTTTAATTGTTTCTTGTGTAACTGATAATTTACACAAAAATATATACTGTATATATATATAAACACAGGTGTATAAAATTTGTGTTATGTATTAGTATTTCAAGATTGTTCAGTTTTGTGTGTAGTGATATGATTTTACCTGACGACAAACTGAGGTGTGTTAACTATGGTCCGTGTTATCCTTGATCATGAAGCATTTAGGTGTTATATATTTTAAAGCCCTTCACTCCTTAAGTCTTGGATGATCAAAATTGTTTTTCAGGGGTTTCTGGACATGGCAATGACCTAAGATCATCACTTTTCAAGATCAATGAGGAACTGGGTTTAGGATACTGACATACCTAATACTGATGGTCTTTTGCATAATGTTAATCTGTTAATACATTATCAGTTTCTTTTGGATGATTTAAGATAATATATATATAGGTCGTGGATATTCCAAGCATTTATTTTCTTGTGATTTAAAGTACTGTACTATGTAGTATTCAACTGAAGAACACAACTCAGTCAACGGTTTACTGCGTCAGTGAAGCTCCACCCGATTCTACAATACAGTGTTACTGACCAGCTTCATTACAAGTTTATCACAAATGTTATTGATTGTAATTGCTTATCCTCTTTGTTGTTATGTTGATATTCAAACAAGCAGTGTGAGTGGAATGAAGTCATATTAGAGTTTTATATAGAAATACTGTGTGTATTACATGTTTTGTTTTTCTATAGACATATTTATTTATGTGGGTTTAACATCATGGAACTCCGACATTGTTTACTGATGAATTAATTATAATAGAGTGTAGACTACATGCTACAGTACAGTATATACTTATTATTATTGAGAAAGCATAAGAGAAACCTTGTTTACATGTTCTTCATCCTTTACTCATGACAAAAGATCAAGCTTTGGCTTTCAAGTAGAGTGATGCAAATTCCCTCAGCCGAGTCCACGACGTGACATGTAGCCTTAAGTTGAAGAGTCACCGCATGATCTTGGCCCGAGGGACTTTGGATAGTTTGCAAACAATATCAGCTTATGTATACAGTGAAGCAGTGTAACTCTGGCTCACATTACTATAGATGTCAGGGTGTACAGAAGACGAGTTAACTTGACCTGTACCTCCGAGTCTCACACAGACATTATGATAAAGAGTTCAAGATGTCTGTTATGACTCAGGAGAGAACAGTCAGATGAACGTGTTCTACAGCATTTATCTGAACCATAACACAAAATGTTTCAGCTTTATCTTTTGTCACTAATGATCACCGTTGAGAAACTTTGGACCAGATGTGGATTGGCATCATACACATGTGACCTTAAACACGTCGCTCGTGAACCTTCAGTTTGTTCTGCTGTACTTGGGTCATGAGGAGGCAGCATGTTGGGTCATGAGGAGTCAGCATGTTGGGTAATGAGGAGTCAGCATGTTGTCTTTACATTTAAGCAAGCGATACAGAAACAATTTTTTATTTTGATTAAAAAAAAGTTTTGGGTGTCCAGAATATAACTTGTAAAAATAGATTTATATATTGATGATTATCCAAGAGTACATGACAAGAGGGAAGTGAGAGTACATGACAAGAGGGAAGTGAGAGTACATGACAAGAGGGAAGTGAGAGTACATGACAAGAGGGAAGTGAGAGTACATGACAAGAGGGAAGTGAGAGTACATGACAAGAGGGAAGTGAGAGTACATGACAAGAGGGAAGTGAGAGTACATGACAAGAGGGAAGTGAGAGTACATGACAAGAGGGAAGTGAGAGTACATGACAAGAGGGAAGTGAGAGTACATGACAAGAGGGAAGTGAGAGTACATGACAAGAGGGAAGTGAGAGTACATGACAAGAGGGAAGTGAGAGTACATGACAAGAGGGAAGTGAGAGTACATGACAAGAGAGAAGTGAGAGTACATGACAAGAGGGAAGTGAGAGTACATGACAATGAGGGAAGTGAGAGTACATGACAAGAGAGAAGTGAGAGTACATGACAAGAGGGAAGTGAGAGTACATGACAAGAGGGAAGTGAGAGTACATGACGAGAGAGAAGTGAGAGTACATGACAAGAGGGAAGTGAGAGTACATGACAAGAGGGAAGTGAGAGTACATGACAAGAGAGAAGTGAGAGTACATGACAAGAGGGAAGTGAGAATACATGACAAGAGGGAAGTGAGAGTACATGACAAGAGGGAAGTGAGAGTACTTAACTATAGAGGGGAGTGAGCTACTGCCTGTGTGTGGTAGCGTACGCGTTAATAGCAATGCTTGACACATGTGATTGTGTTTGTCATTGTTGGTTTAGCGAACACCAGCTTGTGTACTCTCACAGGGACCGAGTTAACATGACAGTCACTGTGAGCGTAAGAGTGACTAAAATCTTAGGTTATATGTCAGAGAAAAATTATTAATTTTCAAATGTGTGTACTGTATATATAAGTGAAATGATTTAACTACATTTTTATGAATCTGGCTAAAGTTAGTGTCCTTTGTATAAAAAAAGAATATATATGTATTGTACTACCTGGGAGTGTGGAGGTGTGCGGCCCAAGGAGGTCACATACCATAATTCATTACTTTTCCTACACGACCGTACAGTATAGTGAAGATTTGTAATGAAGAGAATGACGACGCTTGCTCAAGTTTTTACTTACATGGATAAAAGTACACATATGCATGGACTTACATGCATGTACACACATACACACATTCATTCATTCATTCATTCATTCATACACAGATTTATAGATACAGTATACATAAAATTTAACACAGACATTTATATAAACAGTCACAGGTAAGACCATGTGTACAGAACACCAACACGGTCACAGACACACAAACAAACACCTTCTCTTTACCCACAAACGATCCCGGCGCTGAGTCAAGCCGTCGTGTCTCTCAATAAGGTGGCTGAGTGACACACCTTCCGTGATATCATTTCCACATTTTGTCCCGTTCACTGGACTGCCCTGGACACTCATCATAGGTTCCACAGTAGTTAACCCAGGTAGGCTAGTACAGTCTTACCAGAATGTCCTCTGCACTCACTTGTCTTTTGTTTATTCACTTTGGTAGGTCTTGACGGACAAAACTCACTGATCCTAATGTATTTGGGTTAAGTGAAGTTATTTTTTTATTATGTATTGTACTTTCTGTGTACTCAGTATTATACAGTCATGGTCAGATTTGCCAAAATAATTGTGATGTGAGATTTTGATTTTTTTTTTGCAGCGTCATCATTGTTGTGGTTTTGGCCAAATATAATTTTCTATATTCGAGGTGGAATATTTTGACGCTTATTATTTACCGGTATAAATATAATGTAATGTAAAATAATCAGTGATAATATTGTGGTCAAGCATAGGGTTTTGAATTCCTCGGTTAGGTTATGTACTGTACTACCCAGTTTTTATGTGTGTAGTGAGGACAGGTCATCTCTGCTAGCTGGCAGTAGACCAACAGTGCGGCGCCTCCTTTTGTTGGCTGGCGAGGTGTGTTGACATATATCAATTTTCACTGTGTCTGGGGCATCTTGGTAAGTCCGAGTCTGTTGACAGTTGTCTGTGTCCTTCCTCCTTGCCACCAGAATCTGCCTTCACTTAACTAATCATTCGCACAGGGCAGCTATTGAACATTTTTTGGGAAAAGGTATTTTGCTGTTTATAGGTGTTATGTAGGCACTTCGCAGGCAACCAACGAACTTTTACAATCTCTCTATATAGCATTTGGCTCCGAGAATGTCTCTTCAATTTCTAATGAAAAAAATAAATGTGTTTGATTTTTTTCTCACTCTGAGCCCCGTAAAAATCCCTCATTTTTTTTCTTTTGGTAAATAATTCAACACTCACTTTTGGGTGAATCCAAAGAGCTGGTCTCCCTGGAGTTATGTGTGTGTCTACAATGTCTTCTTCCAGTCTCTTTGATGTGCAGATTGTCCAGTTATTGCAGGAACATAAAGAAACATTAGATGTACACTTGTATATTTGTTGGCCATGTAAGATCTCTGTGTGTAGCATGTTTTGCAGGCTCTCTCATATTCTGGGGCACTTGTCTATCTTCCTTCTCCAGCCACCCGCCCACTCCTCTGATGCACACCCATTCACGATGACAAAAATAAAATAGTAAAAGGTATTATAATGTTTTTTCACTGGATAATTTGGTATATAAGTACGAGTGACGTCACAGCAGCAGCCTAACCAATGACAGAGCTCATCATCACCCGTTGAGAGTAGTGTGTGTGTCTGAGGAATGCATTATAGGTCTCCAGGGACAACACTATGCATGGCAGTAGTGGGCGTCTCTGAGGATCAGTCCAGACTTCATTTAATTACATAATATCTTAAACATCATCAAACAGTACTGTGAAGAAAAAAACCCCGAGATATTCACAAAACATTTTCATTATATTTAACGGAATTAAAACATAAATGTGAACTAATTTTCTCAAAAATAAACCCCCAATGTGGATATTTTATCACATTCACACAGTCGAGGGGTTGTTGACAGTGTGGCTGAACTGAACCAAGAATCACACTGGGATATGAGAGGAGCCTCACCACTTGTGTCACATCTTAGCCACCAGTGTCACATTTCATCCACCACTATCACTTCTCGGCCACAAGTGTCACTTCTCGGCCATTGGTGCCACATCTCGGCCACAAGTGTCACTTCACAGCCACCGGTGCCACATCTCGGCCACAAGTGTCACATGAGACACCAGTGCCACGTGTCAATCACCTGGCACACCCAGAAGTGTCTGAAGATGTGGATGCAACATTGAGTTGCCTCTTTGTAATTTCGGTGTGAGAGTTTTATTGTTGATTTATTTTCTTATTACCGACCAGCAAATACCAAAGACACTAAGTATAAGTTTTATGACCTAGTGACCGCCTTGACGCTTCTTGTCCTCCAGGCATAACAGCTGGTTCTTGCTCTATTGATCTTTACTGTCATCTTGAACTTTGAGTGTAATAGATATATCTCTTGTATGATCATGTGAATGCTACTTGAGTTACATGTTTATATGTCTACTAGCCATATACACACACTTTGGACATGTATATAGTGGTCTTGAACATGTATACAGAGGTCTTTGGCATGTACACACAGATAAGTCTTTGGCATGTACACACAGATAAGTCTTTGACATGTATACAGAGATTTAGGACATGTATACACAGGTCTTTGGCATGTATACACAGATAGGTTCTTGGACATGTATACAGAGGTTTTGGACATATATACAGAGGTCTTTGACATGTACACACAGATAGGTCTTGGACTTATAGACAAAGGACCTGTGCATAGATGTTATACACTGGTCCGGGACTTACCTACAGAGTCCGAATGTTCATGGTCTGGGTGCGCGTACACTGACGGTCTGAGCAAAGGAAACACGAATAACTCAGGTCTTCACTGTTGATGTGCTGGTGCGTCCACAACACTCACGAGAATAGGACACCTCACGCACCAGCTAACACCCTCTTCCTTTTCCTCTTCGTCCCATGACCTACCAATCTCCTCCTCCACCTCCACCTCCTCCTCCTCCTCCTCCTCCTACTTTTCCTGTACCTCCTTCTCCTCTTCGTCCTCCTCGACGACTCACTCTGACCACAACCCCTTCACCCAGCCTCCCGAAACTCCCTCCCCCTCCCCTCAGACCTATCACTGCCCTCCTCCCCTTGACCCTTTCATCTGTTTCAACCATTATCTCTCTATTCATACAGCACTCACACCACTTCGTCCCTCTCCATTGCCCACTCACCCATGCACCTTTCCCTCTCCCCCTTGGCACTGAGCAAAGTACAGTATTACCATCAGCTTTCTTTGGCCAGACCGTGTATAATGCTACACCATTTTACTGTACAAACAAGACGACAGCATCTTTCTTCTCTGTTTTCTGAGTCAGAAGGAGATTTTGGGACTTCCTAACCATTTATTGACACTTTCTCACAGCTATAGACTGGCGTTCACTCAGGAGCCTCTCAGCAATGACTGGAAAATTACAGAAAAGCATTCAGTCGTTGTTTCAGAAAATAATGCCACAAAATTATAGTCACTGTATCGTATGATGTTGGTGAAGATCTTTTGTGTTGTCGAGAATTGTTAGAAAACAGGAGCACATTGAGGAACTATCCGACACAAGTTAAAGTCTGGAGCCAGCACTAAGAGATGAAAGAGATCAGGAAGTTTATGCTTGACGGTTCACGACTGCCGCTCACATTTCCACCAACTCCTGTTTTTCCTGGACTTAATACCCATGAGAGCCTCCCTGAGTGTTAGCCGGGTCTATTGACACACACACACGTAGCGTGAGAAAGTTACCTTGGTACTTTCGGACAACAGCAGCCTGGAGGGTTTTATTACTAAAGTTGACCACACAAACTTCCGCTGATCTTTGTGTGTTGACGTTGTGGGACATATTTAAAGGTGATATAATAGTTGATGACAAGTTAATGATATTGGACGACAAGATACCCGTCAGAGCTTATTTATTTTCTTGTAGAGATGTAAATTATGTATATGTTGTCCCAGATTTTGTGGTGACTGTACAAGAGATGAGGGTCGTGGTGTGCTGGCTGTGGTAGTGGCCGAGCTAGGCTTCACTTGGTGGGGAGAAGCCCGCACCACTACTGTCTGGTAGTGGCAGAGCTAGGCTTCACTTTGTGGGAGAAGCTCACACCACTACTGTCTCCTACATCACTCCGCTAAGTAACTTGTATATATATATAGGAAGCGACGTTCCCCCACCTGCGCTTAACACTATGGTTGCCCTTAACAGTGAATGTGATTATATTAAGTCAGAAATATAGTATTGAGACTAAAACAATTGAGTTTCATAAACCTTCACCCTAAAACCTTGATTAAAACACTGCACCACAACCACTACACTTGTGGCTACTTAATCACACTTGAGTACCAATTGAAATACAAATAGCGGTGAATCCTCTCCATTTTTTAGTAAATAACTTTGACCTGACCTCACAGAAAATGAAAATATGCCTTGAATAATACATGGTACCATAATAGCTACATAGTACATTAGGAACCTTTAAAGTTGATGGAGTAAGCTAAGAGACGATTCAGGACGGGACGCCAACTTACCTTGGTTACCTTGTAAACAATTCATTGAACTGACAGTCCTAGCAACACATTATCTAATTGCGTAATGTAAAAGGAAATGAAAACTTGACCTCTTTCGAATAATGGAAGGAATACATTGTTTCTCTTTGGTTTATTATATATAGTTATGAAAGTTTAAATTTGGCGTCCAGTTGTGTTCGTATAAATGTTGGAACTTGCTTCGTATTACTGATTTGGAAGCTGCATTGCGTCTAATGTCATTTGTTACTTATCGAAAGCTCCAAAGTCAACTTTGACAATGCCAGATACAAAATATTAACTCGACATTAATATTATGCGCGTTTGTGATAATATAGAATACTGACCAAAAAAGACGATTTATCAAAACAATAAACATAATTGTCCTCCTTGGTCTGTTTGGTTCACAACAACAACTGAATCTGATTCACTTCATGAGCAAAACTCCGAATCTGGGGGTCGAACTTTGAGGCAGTTCACAGCGACCAATAAACAACGATATAGAGTTTAGTCTTGTATGTGCTGCGATGGAAGGTGGTCCAGTACGTGGCAGAGGTCGAGAGACGGTGAAATTTGCTGCTGGTGGTGATGGCCAGGAGCCCGAACATGGTTTGCTCGCTGTCTCCGGTACTGGCAGGTGTGTAGCACCGTCATTTGCATAGTGCTTACTATTTTCCTTTACTTGTTGAGCGCTTGCCATGTGTATGTTGATGTGCTCCGGCGGAAGAGAAAAACTACAATCTCTAGACAATGGAGTCGAGACCATACAGTTACCTGGGCAGCCAACTAGTGAACAACACTGACATAACGGTAAGCTGGCTGGAAGAAGCTCAGGTTAAATCCCACATAGAAATAATAAGATAAAAAGCATAAATACCATATTGCTCGCAGAATTTGGTCAGGATTTGTATTGTTAATTTAAGATACAGAATAAAAGCCAAGCGTTGGAGAAACGTAAATAAACTGTAAAACTGATATTTACATGACCATGCGAGGGATGGTGCTGTTTATCTAGGTAAAGGTGTAGAATAGCGCTGGCACCAGAAGTTGTTTGTTGATTTTTGTTGTTGCTATACTTATTGTTTTAGTGATTTTAAGTATATTAAAAGAAAAGACAACTTTCTATTAAAATTTTAAGTATATTTTGTTCTTATTTTTTTGTATTCACTTCATTCTTTCATAATTATTTGCTTTATACGTCCACATTTGGTACAGTATTAAGAAGCAGCTGTTGATGAATCAGGGTCAGATGGCCAGTTCATCTTCTGCGAACGTCTTGTCGTCGTTCATAGGAATCTGGAATCTAAAAGCAAAGATTTTATTCACACACGATTATTCTGCGTCACCATCCTAAACACCGAGTCTCAAAAGATATTTTTTCTTTCTTTATTGTACGGAAAAGCTGTTTAATTAACTTTTTTAGCTGCGACTATATTAATTATAAAGATTAATTATCATGAGCAACACCGTAACCTCAGCTTGCTCCTTGGCAAGACTCTAATTAATTTATATATTTCTAACGTGCGATGATCCCGAGGGACAGACTAGAGGAAGGACTAACCTGCAACAGGAGGCGCTAGAGCGGCTGAAAAAGAGCTCGGCCTGGGGAAGGGTCTGGGGCAGGGCTACTCCGGCAGTCTCCGGCAACAGGAGTGTGGAAAACCCAGCTACCATTGACAAACCGCCGAACACTAACAACGGCGCCCCCCTCTGCCACTCTCCCTGCAACACGGCGCAATACTTAATTAGTTCCCTCCCTGTTGCACAATATTTCGTACTTTCTTTGTAACACAAGACAATACTCAACATTATTTTATTTGTTCAACATAACAGAGCATTCGTTATTCTCCATTTAATATAACCAGCTAATATTTTTTGGCGTACATAAAAATATCTAAGTTATGGATGAAACATAGGTTTATTTTCTTTTATATAAAATATTTTAAAGAAAATGTAATACAGTTTTGGTAAACTATTACATAACCGAGTATCACCGACGTTACAAATTTAATTACTGACATATCATACACCCGCGTAGGCTTTATGTATATTAGAAAATCTATGTGTTGATGCTATCATATTAAACATATATATATAGTTAGCAATCATTGTAAATACACCTAAATGTTAGCTTGCAATGTTTAAATTACGTTAACATAACCACAGCCATAGTTAACATCTTTATATTATTGAATGTGACACTGTCAAAGACTTCAGGCCACCTGGCGTATTGTATCTTGAATTATGTAATTACAACATTGAATCAAGAGTTATTGAGACATTCTCGCTGTTTCTCCAAAATTTTCTGCTAGCCCACACTGATTAGTCCTCAAATAGAATACGACTTCTACTGTATATCAACCACTATCCTGCGAGGCAGTGAGCAGTGATATTACCCATATTATAGTCATCAATATATACTATTAATGAATATAATATATTTCTTCGTGTATGAACCTCTGTCCTGCGTGGCAGTGAGAAGTGATAGCACCCTCAGTGTCAAGACCTGATTGAATTACTCAGAATAGGCAAACTGTACTCCAAGCTTTGCCATTAAATTTGTTAACTGTAATAAGGTGTTAATTGAAGACCGAGGAGCATTTGATCACTTGCCAAAGGTATTGGCTAATCAATAGTCTTAGAACACGATCCACGAATCGATTAATATTTTGGTCTCAAAGTATTGCTTGTTAGGTTGATATGCAAATAACGTAATGCTCCACCATGCCCGGGAATCACATTTAAATCCTCTCTCTGTGAAGATGAGATGATGGCCTACAACACGTCCCCAAGCACTTCATTATATTAGCTATGCAGACCACTCATAATCCTCGTAGTCTGTGTAAGACTTCATTAATTATTTCTTAAATTTCTTATATTTAAAGGTATCTTTTTAAACTGAAGTACAGTATTTGTGATTAAATGTAGTATTTAGTGAAGCAAGCACTTAACACAGGAAAAAAAGTTTCATCATAACTAAACCGGAATGAGATTCAGATTAATAAGATAATTCGTTCAGCGTTTATTCTCACTGTTTGATCTTTATTTCTGATTCAATTTACCAAAAATGTCGAAATAATTTCCTCAAGTTATTCCTGTGAATCCGAACACCTCTATCAACTGACACACTCGTGCATAGACAGATTAATATGGTCACCGCCTCTCACCATGGTGGGATTAGGGAGGACACAGTACCAGATAAACGATGGAGGGAGAAAGGAAGATAGCTACTCCGCCCAGAGTCTCGGCCAAGGCGACCCCCTGACCCCGCACCACTGTGGGAAACACCTCCGGGCAGTACTGCAGAGTGATGTAGTAGGCTCCTGTGATGGTCGCCCGCCCCACCAGTGCCACCGTCAGCGCCAACCACTCCATACCTATAGGAACAACACACTTGTAGGTCCCACTTCCTCCACACCACCGTCACACACCTGTAGGTATCACCACAGCCACATACGTACACCTGGATGTACAGTACCATTCACTTCTTAATATAACACTCACCTTTAAGACCACACCTGCATATGTCACACACCTGCGTATATCACACCTGTGTATATCACACCTGTGTATATCACACTCCTGCGTATATCACACATCACCAAACGTGGCTGACATGCAACTGCAGAGAACATGCACTCGTCTGCAGGGTCCTCACATCACCACACACCTTCCGGCACGACAGCGTAGATGAAGCCAGCGATGCTGGAGAGGAGGAATGCGGCGGTAAGGGGAAGACGTCGTCCCAGACGGTGAATGAGCCAGGGCACGCACCACGACGGCACCTCCACCACCGCCCCCAGCAGGTAGCTCATGAACACGTTTCTCCCCAGGTTCGCCGTGTTCTGACAGTGGCCGTAGAAGCACATACAGGCCAGCATCCTGTAACAACGAGGGTGATGACTTGACTGAAAAACATATTTCCTTCATGATACTGATGAGCCTCAACCTAACCTAACTAAACATTAATGATTAAGGAATGATCCTGATGGGCATCTGTCCCGATTGGCCTCCGTAATGATAGGCACTAGTGCTGATGGACCCAAAACTCAAGTAGTAGATTTGGTGAGATTTGGAAGTGCAGTTTGCCAGGTGCTGTAAACATTCCACAAGCCTGGCCTGGCCCTACTAAACACGTGGCTCTACATGCATATTGTCTTGCCTCAACACGACTGGCCAGACTAGATCATGGTAAACACAAACTAAGTTTACTTTGCATGCAGTATGAACCTGTGAAGCTTTATCTTATGTCTGGTGTAGGTTTTCCTAATTCATCTTTTGTTGTCCTGGGAACTATTTAAGAATTAATGTTTTTTAGAGCAATAATTATTGTACTTGTATATAATTTCACAAATATTTGTCTTCATTTGTTAGTTAAGTGTACCTGTAATCTTCACATGTTCAAGATCTAACTCGTTAATTTTTCCTCACAGGTACGAGGCACCAGACGACAAGTTCACCCTCCTGTACTCACCACACCACCATCACCAACAGAATGTTCTTGCGTAGGTTGGGATACTTCACGGCATCGATGATCGACCGACTCGTCTCGCTACCTTTATCTGTTCCATTCGTCTGATGTTCGTTCTCGTCATTGCTTTTATCAGCGAGGAACTGCATGAACTTGTCCTCTGGCAGACGGTGGCCGTTCACCTTAGCCACCGTGGACAGCTGGGCTCGCGCTGCCTCGCTCTTCCCTTGAGCTATCAGCCAGGATGACGACTCAGGGATCCACCTGCAGTGTGAACACACAAGGTATTCTAAGTTTGTACAATATCCTGAAACTTTCCTTATAGAGGTAATTGAGCCCAATTTTAGTATACCTTAGGATATGGTTGGCCTAGAACACCTTGTGGAGGTTCTCTAGTTATTTGTTATCTATATTTCTCGGTTCTTCGCCAAACGCGTCTAGTACTTGTAGGAATTCAGAATATATATATATATATATATATATATATATATATATATATATATATATATATATATATATATATATATATATATATATATATATATATATATATATATGAAGATCTCTGGGGCACACCACCGCTTTATATATTAATATATTTCCTTCACACTTATAAGATAGAAAGAGGAACAGAGCCCACCTGTAAGTCAGCAGAAGGACGAGAGGAAAGATGCCACTTATGAGGACGAGGGTGTACCAGTCCCAGATGACCCAGGCGAGAGCTGGGGTGATGATGGAAACAGTGGTGTAGGTCATCATGATGGTCAGCAGCGGCACCACACGACTCTCAAGCCCGCAGTACTCCACCACTGTAAGGTATGAACCACTGTACTCGACTGTAATGTGTGCAGTGATCGAATGAAGTATATTGCCGGGGTTTTGACGAATACATCACAAAACGGTTGAGTCATACGACACATGCACGTGTGGAGCCCATAAACAGTCGGCTGGCCTGTGAAACTTTTGGAAGGGGCCACCATTGACGCCACTCACTGTGTTGGGTGTCAGGTTTCATTATACTGCGGCCAAAGCTGGGAAGATCCTCCATTCTCTCACTGCACATTCACTCTACACTGTGTAATTCGCATAATGAAGAGAATAACAGTTAATTAATCCCACGTCAAGGAAATCACTTGTATGTTAATTCGGTTCACTTCTCTTCAGGTAAGCCGCTTCACCCACCAACACCACTACGCTCTCTTGCTGTACACATTTCTACACTGTAACGTCTGCACCAATGTACTCCACTAACATGTACATTGCATTCTCCCACAAAGCGTGTACTGTACTGTACTGTATATTCCAGTTTAGGAAAAGTAATTGGTGGTTATTCTGTACACGTGTTGCAGTTGTGTTGTTCTGGAATTATTATTTGACCTCGTGTTTGATTATGGTTCATTATTGTCCGCAGGAAAGATGTAGATTCCACCCCACCGTTTTCCTGCTGAATTGTCTGTCTGTCAGTGGACATCAGTGAAGACTGGAGCAAACCAAAGGACTAATCAGGTTAGTGCATCTTGAAAGGTTTGGGAATCAGGTCCGCGAGCCCTGTATGTTTACCAGACGACTTACAAATATTAGAAGATACTGTAGACTTAGAATAGACGATAGACTGTGTTAAATGGAATATTTGGGCAATAAGCCATGTTTGTGTAGGAAGATGATGGAGTGTTCTGTGTAGCAAAGTTTGTTGACGAGCCGCTGAGGTACTGTACATCTTGAGCATCAGAAGTTCATGGTCACTTTGTTGCCGAGATATCAATTACTTGAAGTGTGGTCTGACCAGATCCCAAGGAATTTATTTTTTAAAATTGATTTATTATTTTATTGTTTGCTGGTGTAATTTGTTGCTTGTTTCATTTAGGAATTTTGCTTATATTTTATTATATGATGGTTGATGTTATATACCTTACGTTAATGGATGACAGTGAGGAGTTACCTACCGAGGACGAAGGGCAGGTGAGACACTATGTGGTGTGACGAGCCCACCAGGAACCTAAGGGCGGTGAATCCGTAGAAGTCCCTGACGAACACACTGGCCACGCCCGCTAAGCCGTACACCAGTAAGCTCAGTCCCACCGTAGGCCGCCTCCCAAACCTGCCAGAGTCAGAGCTCTTTTACCTTGGTAGGCTTTACCACCTGTAACTTGACCTGTAATGATCTAGTGCCTATGGTGAGCTATGATGACCTAGTACATATGGTGAGCTAGGATAACTTAATACCTATGGTGAGCTATGATGACCTCGTACTTATGGTGAACTAAAACGACCTAGTACCTATGGTGAGCTATGATGACTTAGTATCTTTGATGAATTGCTCTGTGTACCGATGGTTCTGTGACTTACTGACCTATCGTGATCTTCATTAACCTATCATGACCTGTGTTGACCCAGAATGACTTGAAGGAGAGACTCACATGTCAGATACGAAGCCCCAGAGCCAAGAGCCGACAGTATTGCCAACCCAGAACATCGTAACCACCATGTAGGGTCTCCAGGCCTCCTCACACACCCAGTCGTTCTGTTGAGATGTGACAGTATCATTTATTTAGCTCGGGAATACACTGACTGTATGTGTATAGTAGTTCATGAGAGACTGGTATGTGTGTGTGTGTGTGTGTTGTGTGTGTGTGTGTTGTGTGTGTGTGTGTTGTGTGTGTGTGTGTTGTGTGTGTGTGTGTGTTGTGATTTGTTTAGGCAAGGAGGAAGGAATTTGACGTCATCAGCTGGGTAACTCGAGCACACAATGCTAATCGTAGGTAGTCGTTTCAGGTTTCTAATACGGCTTATTCTTACTTGTGGTGTCCCTGCTGGTTATGTTTCGATTTGGTACCCAGGATAATATTACTCAGGTTACACTTGTTCCCACTCTATCCACTCAGTTTTTGTTGAGCTGGTTCTTCTTATTGGTTATCAGAATATTTACAGTAAACCAATGCTAATTACTCA